TTATACGAGCACCTTTAAACAAGTTTATAAATTTTATATTTTTCAAAAACTTGTATTTTAAGTTTTGTAAATACTTCACAGCTTGTTTCTTAGAACCAAAGTTAAGTTAATTAAAACTTTTCTTGAAGACTCCCGGAAGTACGATATTTTTATCCGGAAGTTGGAGTTTCAATACATTTTCCTTCGCTATAAAAAAACATTATTTGATGATTTTATCGTTTAAAAATTTTAAATTGTTGGCGGTATTTAATTTATTAAGAAATCTGACAACAGGTTGTTGTTTAAAATTTTATTTGCATTCGCTGTTGTGTGTTATTGTCTAAAACTATTTAATAATTGGATTTTTTTATTTGTTTAGTAATATCTTTCACCCAAAAAACATCAAAAGCGTTATTAAAAGAAAAAACATATTTTATAGCCTTTAATTTTAATTTTAATAAAATGTATTTGAACAAGTGTTTTTTGGAATAAAAACTGAAACCTAAAGTTATAAACAGGATTTTTCTTCCTCTATTTTTCTATAAAAACTTTTAAAGGATGCATTTAATGAACTTTTATTTCAAAATCTTTATATTAAATTGTATTTCATTAAGAATTATTTTAGCTTTTGCTAACATTTCACTCTAATGTGAAAACAATATGACTTTGTGAAAGTCTTCATTTTTTTTTGAAAATTATAAAATTGAACCAAGTAATGAAATTAGTTGGTTAAATAATAACATTATGGGATTCTAAAATGTGATTAAACAATTGCAAGTGGAAGATCAAGGATATTTTATATCTAAATCTTTTGTGATTTGAAAAACAAAGAATTGGGTTGTCGAAGGAAAGTCCAACACTTGTTGTTAAACAGTTCAGAAATATTTGACAAGATTTAAAGAAAAAAAAATCATATTTAGAACAATAATTAATAAATTATAACTAAACAGAATGATATTTATGTACATCAGTATTCACTTCCATTTAAAACTTCATTTTAATTATTTCTTATTTGACCTTTATGCATTATATTGCATAAAGTTCCGCAATGCCAAAAAATTTATCCGAAATACCATCTGATCCAAAGGCTTCGAAACTTCACGTAAATGTTTCCCTTAAATGTATAAAGCGTATACAGCATGGAAAGTACACAAAAATTCATAAATTAGTTTTATTTTAGACTTGAACAAATAATTTGCGGTACATATTTTATATAAAATTGTGTGGGCAAAATTTAAACCTACATAAATGTCTAACTAATTAAAAATACAAATTTGAAAATGTTATTATCTACGTAAATATATTATTAAAAGAGAAACAATTGCAAATAAAAATAACTTTTTGTCTGCTTTTGAATTATCGTGTTTTACAACAATATAACGGTTTTTTACAATTTTTATCCAAATTTTAAACTACAAAACTGTAAAAAAATATTGATGTTCAAATTTGTAAAGGAAATTCAAAGGTCTTAAATATATTTAATCAAAATATTTTAAATTTGCGACATTTCAAATTAAAAAACTTTTGCAGTTAGGGATAGCTGTAGAAAAAAGTGTCGCAAATTTTTAATTTCTATTCCAAAAAAGAGATGAAACTTTTTAAGAGGTAAACAGTTTTAAGAAAAAAAAACTATTTGTTTAATAATAAAGAATGTGAATTTGATAATTCAGTAGTTCTTTAATATATTTACATCTTTTTGAAAGTAATACTTCCATTCAAAAGTTTTTTTAGTTTTTTTTCTCAGGATGAACTCTTGTGAATTTTGTATTTACGAAACGCACTATAATACAAGTACATAATACACACCATAATACAACTCTTATCCAAAAGCTTTAAAATTTGATGCAAATATTTTTCATAAGTTTATAAATGGAAAAACGTTAGAAATGATCCTCGCTACAAAAATAATTTAATTTTAATTTTTAAACATTGAATCTTTACGTTTTTAAACCATTTGGAGTCTACACAAAATTTATATACTTGACATATTAATTTGAATGATGACTATTCCCTATAGAATATTGTTACAAACAAATGCAGGTTTAAAAATTAAAACATAAGTTATTTTATTTTGAGATTATATTTTATTACAGTATTAATTTTTGACAATTTTTACCAAATAAAATCTTAAAAAAAAAAAAAGGAGATAATTTTCGAGTCATAAGTTTCTTGAAGCATTCTATCAAAAATGTTTCAAAAGAAGAAAAAAATATTTTAATAATTTCAGAAAATCACCTCCACCTCCTCCCATTCATAATTTATCATTCATGAATTTGATTGGCCTCTTACTAGCAATCTTAATTTACGAAATACTGTAAACATTTAACCGCTTAGCATACATGCATTAAGTACATCTTATCGACAGCTAATTAGAGGATAACGTGCTTGACGCTTTAAAATAGCAATAATCTTTCGGATAAGATAACAACGTATAATGATAGTTTGCTTAATAATGCATTAGGTAAAAGCCTATATAATCATGAAATTGCTGTGTAATAGGCTGGAAACCTTTCAAGAAATTTAGTGTTACTTAAAATCTGGAAAATTTAGAGTTACTACTGTGCCCAAATGTAAGACCAATTTGTTTTTTTCAAAAATTTTTATCTATTCTTCCAAATTTATTTTATAGCCTTCAAAGTAATTCCCTCGGGATACGATGTACTTTTGTCAACTTTTTTTCCAATCCTCAATGCATGCTAAAAAGTCATCGGCAGGGATGGCCTTCAAAGCGCGTGGCGATTCACGTTGAATCTCTTCAATCGACTCAAAATGAGGTCTCCAGAGTGGTCATTTGAGTTTTGGGAATAGCCAGAAGTCGCACGGTGTGAATACGGGGGTTGTGTAACGACATGGGTTTCATTTTTGGCGAAAACGTCACGAAGAATCAATGCAGTATGAGCAGGCGCATTCAGTTTTCTGTGCCAATCGAGATTTGATGCCTTTGAGGCCCAAAATGGATTTGACCGATCCTTTTGAAATTCCAACATCCTCAACAAGGTCTCTAATTGTAAATCGACGGTTTTCCAGCTCCAAATACTTAATTTGTTGGACGTGAGCTTCGTCGGTTGAGGTTGGTGGTCGACCAGAGGGCTCTTCGTCTTCAAATCGTTCTCTGCTTTTCTTGAACTGTTTATACCACTTCTAAACATTTCTTTCCGATATAGGAATGGTCACCGAATCTCTTCTGCAACATTCTATACGTTTCCGCAAACAAAATTAAATGCAAGTTCTTTGTTCAATTAATTCAGACATTTCAAAAATCGCCGGAATCAGTTTTAGCGTCTCAACAAAGCCAAGCGTAACTCAAACACTAATGAATATTTTGACGTTAAATTTCACATAGATGTCAAGAACAGTGCCAGTAACCTAAAAAAGACAAACAAAATTGAAATTCCATATGCCCCGGGAATTTGAAATTGAAAATTGTTCGTACTTTTTGGACACAGTAGTACTATCTTTCAGAGAAAAGCGAGCCGACATTGAGAAAGGATATTTGGATTTCTTGATATTCATGTATTCCTGAGCTGGATATATCAAATAAAAGTAACACAACATCCGGGCGTGTTTTATTTTGGATATTTTGGGTCACATATGTGAACACCGTAAAATGACTTTTTTCAAGAATGGCCGAGGAACAAAAGAAATATTTATTTTTTTTCTCTTAGATGTTCTTTTTTTTGAAAATGGAATATTTCAGAACTCTTTAAGATATATGTACCATTAAACAAGATGTAGAAAACTCAACGGAAAAAGGGAATATTTATTATAGGACGCTGCTTTCATATTTCTGTATTTCTAAAGGCAGAAATTTAAAAAAAAAATACAAACTATAGTACGACTCAACTATAACGCGTTCATTTGCAGACAACTATTATATTAGTATAATAAGCTAAACAAGCTTATCTTCAAGATAACATTATAAATGTGTTAAATGTTAAAATGGCCAAGGAACAAAAGAAATATTTATATATTTTTCACTTAGATGTTCCTTTTTTTGTGAATGGAATATTTCAGAAGTCTTTAAGATATATGTACCAGTAAACAACTTGTTGGAAAATCAACGGTAAAGAGAGAATATTTATAATAGACCACTGCTTTGATATTTCTGTATTTCTAAATGAAATTTAAAAAATATATAAATTGTAGTATGTCCCAGTTATAATGCAACACTCTGCATACAACTGTTATACCAGTATAATACGCTAAACAAGCTTATTCCAAAAATGTAATAATAATGTCCATAATGTAATAATGTAAATGTAAATGTAATGTATGTAAATGTAATAATATATGTTTTATTTGAAGACCATGGTGTTATGGTCTTCAAATAAAACACATATATTCTATTGTATTGTAAAAATCACAACTCTTTTATTCAAAAACCAAACGCATTTTTTCAACATTCACATTTCTTGCTCGTTAAAACAAGCTCGCGCCAACGCAGAAGATTATGTTATAATTCCTCTGACGTCAGTTTACATTTACATTTTTTTATAATAAATTACGCTGATGGAGCCATTTATATTCATGAGGCAACAAATAACGACTTCTTATTTTAATACAATTAAAATATTATATAACTTTATAGTTTTAAATAAAAATGCTGAAAACTGAATTTACTGTTCTGCGTATGAATGTATCGCATACTGTATTATTTTACTAGAATAAGACATTGAGCATTTAATTTTTTTTCACGCTTTTAGACCTTTGTGTTCACAGGAGTATAATGTGTAAAAATGAATATTGTCTATTTTCTTTAATCAGAAAGCTTTTATAATCATGCATATAACATTTGAAATAATATATGATAATTTCTAATAATGCATTTCTAAAATCGTTAATATTAGTTTTTCTTTCTAATTCGTCACTTGCTACTTCTTAATAACATCCATTACAATCAACCGATCCGTTTTTTTAGAATATATAAATCATGTAAAAATTGTTTTAAAAACTTGTTTATATAAAAAATGACCCAGACGGAAAAAAATTATTCAATATATATATTTACATTCAGTTCAGCCAACGGCCGTACCATGCTGAATATACCGGTTCTCGTTAGATCACCGAAGTCCAGCATCATTGGGCGCGGTCAGTACTTGGGTGGGTGACCACCTGGGAACACCGCGTGCCGTTGGCATTCACAAATTTGGAATGGCCGAGTGTCTAGCGCTCGGTGCTTCGGGTTCGAATCCCGGTGGTGACATGGATGTTTGTAGTGGTTCGGAATCCACTTTAAGCCGTAGGACCCGGTCTCCTATGACTGTAAGAGCATCACGGAGCCAAAGTCGGACTTCTACCTACGGGTGCGCCATCACAACAGAAGCTGCTTCCTTCCCCCCTCAATCATGAGTACGTATGGGCTCGTGGGCTTGGCCAGCCAAGTGGGATAAGAAACAACAACAACAACATCCAGTTCGTTAGAGTCTGACTGGCGTCGCTGAAGAAATGATGAGTTGTACATGATATATTTTTATATCTGAGTTATTATTTGATTTTAATCTAAAAAATTAAAAATCAACTTGTTCAAAATAAAAAGTCAGCTTGAAAACTAACCTTAGCGGTAAAATATTCGCGGAGTTAAGTGAAAATAATAAAAGTAAGTGTTAATTAAATTTTTAACAATTAAAAAGATCTGAAACTTTTTTGGAGGAATACATATGTGAGTAAACCAATCATAAATACCCTCCACCCAAAAAAGAAAAAAAATGAAGCAATTGGCCAGAATATCCAAAATACAAAACTATAAAATTTTATATCCAAAGGATTATATCAAAATTTTATAATTGTAAAACTTCATGAAAAAGCAATTGTTCTAATACTACAAAATGTACTACCAAATTCTGTCAGAGAATTTCATTATGTGATAATTAAATGCACTTTTATAACCACAAACTGATCCTTAGACACCTTTTTGAGAAAATTAAAGCATTATTTTATTCATATTGTGAAAGCCAGACAAGTCAAAATCAACTACATAGCACGTGACTGATTATTGATCAATCGTTATACTTAGCAAGACATATTTCAGTCAGTTTTAAACACAATCAACGTTCATTTTAAATAAAAGTTTTTGAAATAAAAGTTTCTCGTGTTGCGATAGAGGAAAATAAAACGTATAATCATTACCTTCATTGATCAATTTGAATTACCAAATTCTTTTAAATTGATATTATGTTTATATAAGTCAAGAATGTTCGTTTAATTCCAAAAAAAAAAAAAAAGAAAATTAGAAGCTAATGCATAGTATTCTTGATATAATTCGTAGAAATGCATCTCCTTCTCTCTCTCTCTATATATATATATATATATATATATTATAGAATATATTATATTCATTAAAAATATATAAAATTCATAGAATATATAAAATTCATTAAAATTCGAAAGACTCGTTGTCTAGCTTATATTTGTAAATGAACATTTTTCACCAATGAATATTAAAATTTGTAGAAATACGTCTATGTGTATATATATATATCTTTCGTGCGATATACAAATGAAGGATATATATATATATATACATAGACGTATTTCTACAAATTTTAATATTCATTGGTGAGAATGTTCATTTACAAATATAAGCTAGACAACGAGACTTTCGAATTTTAATGAATTTTCTAGTAACAAATATAAAAATTTAGTTTGAGTGCAATTTTAAAGCGGAAAGGGTTTTTAGAATATTCCATAAAATTTCATTTAAAATACTTGAAGCAAGTCTTCACTAATAGTTAATGCTTTCAGAACTAACACAAGCGAGACTCTTGTATGACGGTAATAAATAAATAATTGCATTAATTAGGAATACTGTTTCTAGGAAAGAGTGTTTCTGAGAAAAAGTCTTCTCATGATGCGCAATAGATTAGAAAGCATGTAATAAAATGTTTTACTAATATTATTTGGGTGTGACGATTTAAACTTTGCAACAAAATGTGGCATTATCTTAAAATAATATAAATATACGCATATCAAAACAGTAATCGAAATATAACCTACAAATCTGGATCTTTCGTGCGATATACAAAATGAAGGATATTTAACTCCTAAAGTACTATCGAAAAGGAGAAGCTTTCCCTGTTTGTTCTCCATGCTATTTAAAAGCTACTACAAGCTACCGTTTGTTTTCCATGCTGCTTAAAACAGGAGGTCTTTAATTTTTTAAAAAAAACAGCACCCAAACTCTAAAACAGCACTCAAACTATTTAATTATTATCCTTCAATCTATTAAAAGTTATTAAATTCTTATTAATGGGGGACCAGGCATTACCAGACATTGAATTCTTCCACATTATAAACATATAGGAATGGAAATCGAAATCTCTTACACTAAAGAATCAAGACAGAGTTATTTTCGAAGCTAATGGTGACAGTTCGTTATTCTATGATAAAGCGAGCTAGAAGTTGGTTCCACTTCTCTGTCAGAATGCCTTGCTATTGCTGTTGTCAAATGGAGACTCGATGATGTATGTAACAGTAAAGTGAGTATCTGTTTCTGATAGACGGACTACCAGAAGTGAAGATTCTAGGGTTTTTTGTTCTTAGTACGTCTAATGTTCCTTCCAAAGATTCAAACCTCTTCTATCTGTTCATTTTGTGTTATGTAATGAAGATCTATATGTAAAAAAATATTGCGGCACTCAGAATATAATTAGGTTATTTAATTCTCAAAGATATCCAGACATTTACTTCCAACAAGTTTCTTCTTTTACTATCTCAAAAATATTATTAAAGATGAAGTATGTTCCAAATGTCGAGAAATATTGAAACTACAATGTTCGGGCCTTTAAAGTTACTCTTTTATTTCACAATTTAAGAAAGGCACGAAAAGCTCTCCAAGCTGAAGCAGTTAGACAGTTTCGTCATGCTCAAGTAAATAACTCGTTCTCTTTATTCATGAATTCTTTTAAAATATAATTTTCTTCGATTCAAACTTTCGAAACTCCTTTTGCATTCTGGAGTACTTTGAAGCAGAATTAATAAGTTCGGAAACTATGAAAAGAAAATAGTTTCCGAAATAGTTCCATTCTGGTTTCACAATTCATTAAGGAAATGATGGATATCATTCTTTAAAGAATCAAATATATTCATGCTATTAAAATCATCACAAAAGAGGAAGAAATGGTTAGAAGTCCATAATTTCAGATAAGTTCAGAGTTTTAATAGAAAGATTTTTTTTTGAACTTTCGTGGTATGGGAGAGCTTTTCAACACTTAATTAAATCCGGGATCGAATTTAGTGTGAAAACAAAATTTAAAGTATAATAGATTTCCATTTAAAATTATTGCAGTCTTTCAACCAAAAAGGAAAAGAAATATTCTATAGACGAATTATTTTGAATGAAATAACTTAAAGGTTATTAAAACTTAAGATTATATAACAATATTTTATTCTACGTTATGCCTTCCTTTCATATATTGTAATATTTAAAGAGTGAGTGAAATGAATTTAAAATACAGAATATATATTTAAACTATAGCTAAATAAACGGATCTTTATTAAATATATTACAAACTCTGCTGATGTAATAGGGAAATTTAAAAGTTTAAATGCCACAAGCGACAGACATTATTTAATAAAATAGAAATTTTAATTATATGAATGTATTTGAGAGAATATAAGAAGATAAATAGGCTTTTTCAGGAAGATTATCCTTTACAATTGGAGAATCTAATGATATATTTGCAATTGGTTGTAGTTCTCAAGCGAAAACATTTGAATAAGCAAGGGATTCTCTAAGATAAATTATAAATGTATATTGGTTTTTTAATTAAATACATTTAAAACAGTTTTTAGAAATTAGTTACTTCATAACTTAGACTAAAAGCTTGTTAGAATAATATACATTTTTTTTTAAATTTATAAAGTCTATGAAATACACTTTTGCATTTAATGCAAAGTTATTATTTTCAATTAATTTTTCATTACTATGAATGTATTAGTTACACTTAATTAATTTTATGTTTCGAAAGATATTATTTGCATTTTGTATCAAGAACTTAGACTGAGTAAAAACAACTGAACTAATTATGTATATTAGATTAAACAGAAATATTTCGCTTTAACGCAAACTATGATTTTTGACAAAAAGTGTTTTTGAAAAATCCATTCCATACTTTTAAACTTTATTTAATTCAATCTTTTGTTGTAGTTACTACACATTCTGTGGTTGTATTTAAAAAGGGAATATTACATTTTTAATAGAACTTGGTTTTTAGAAATTAGAAATCGGGAAATGTCAAATAAAGAAAGCAAATATCTATTAAACGAGATGTCTAAATGTAAATCTAAAGAAGTGGAAAAAATAATGAGAAACAAGCAATAATGGTATTGAAAAATACTTATTTAGTTCGTTTCTGAATACAACTTTTAATTAAAAGAATGCATTTTTGTCAATGAAAACACTGTAGTTCACAAACCTCTAAACAAATTAAATGTTATAACCTGATTAAAGAAAGGTTCAATAACGATCCACCATGTCTTCCCGGAATAAAATATAGCCAATGGGAAAGTGTTCAATGTAGATAGATCCTCTTTTCAAGGACGGGTTGACCCTCACATTAATCTTTGGACTAAGCACATTTTTTTTCGGAATTTTAGACTTTGGAACTTTTTTTTCTTTATAATTGGAGAATCTAATGATATATTTTCAATTGGTTTATAGATCTAAAGCGAAAAAAATTGAATAACTAAGGGATTCACTACGGTAAATTATAAATGAATAATGTTTTTTTTAATTAAATGCATTTAAAACAGTTTTTAGAAATCAGTTACTTCATTCCTTACATAAACCTAAAGCTTGTTGAAATAGTTTACTTTTTTCAAAATATATAAAGTTTACGAAATACATTTTTGCATTTACTGTAAAGATATTATTTACAATTAATTTTTAATTAATACGAAAGTATTATTTACAATGATTGAATATGTTTCTAAAGATAGCATTTGCATTTTGTATCTAAAACTTAGATTACGTGAAAAACAACTGATTCAATATGGATATTTGATTAAACAGAAATATTTCGCTTTAAAGTAAACCATGATTTTTCACAATAAGTGGCTTTGAAAAATTTATTCCATATATTTTACACATTTTCTAATTCAGTCTTTTGTTGTAGGTACTACACATTCAGTATTTG